TGAGAGTTGGCGGCACTGCTGTCTTTGCGCATCCATTTACAAAAGGCTTGTGGTTAAGGTGCTGGAAGCATGTTTTTTATCCCAAAGTATCTTGGGCTGTTGCTCAGTCTGTTTTGCCAACCCTAGGGGCTAGTGGGAAGAGAGTCGGTTTTTGGTCTGGTTCGTAAAGGGCCGATCTGGTCTCCACATCTGGATAGCTCGGTCCCCTTGCTCAGCTTGCTCACCACAAGGCCTGGTCAGGTGGTGATGAGTTTTGTAGCGCTCGGTCCTTCAGGAGCCAGACTAAAAACCAACTCACTTTGGTTTATGCAGAGAAATAGCTGGGACTCAGGTGACCCCTGACCACAAGGAGGCTGGCAGAAATGAAAGCCAAAGCCAATTTAATATCCAATAGTGGGTACTTTAATATCCAACAGGTATTATTTAATATCCAACAGTGGGTACTTGATGGACAGATTTACACTCCGCGTAAATGGTTGCAACGGCAGATTTTACAGGTCCCTTGGCCCGACGTGAATTTGGACGCTGGCCCTCAGGAGATTTGCTGCAGTCAGGGAGAAGTGAGGCTGCGAAGATCTCCTGTCTTCTCATCTTTGCTGCTCGTTTTTTCTGTCTGTGGTCGCTTTGATCTTGGCCTCTCCAGCTCACGGGCTCAACGGTGTCTCCAAAGCATGGGTGGCTAGAGTGGGCCCAGGGAGCTGCAATGGGGTTAGGAGGAGGGCAGGCTGGTTACCCACCTGGGTCTGTGTCCTGCTGAGCTTGAGTCTGTGTCTTGGAGTTGAAGTGCTCTGTGCTTTTGCGAGAACTTGCCTAGAAGTCGAGTAGGATTTTTGCTGCAGAGGCCTGGTAACGGGCAGGCCTGTCCAGGCTGTTCATTGCACTAATTGAAAGGTCAGATCCAGCATCATTCATACGCGCTTCTTGGTGACCGCTGAAATGCCCTTGAACTTATATCCACCTGGATGTGAGATACCGTCAAATGATGTTATCAAACCAATTCCTTTCATTAGCAGCAGTGTTACCATTCAGTCTGGGACCAGGCTCCAATACTGAAGCTTTACCTGGACACTTCTTCTCCTGGCCTGGAGGTCATGAATTTTTTGTCTCACTTTTTGTCTTGATATTTCTGGTTAAATGAGACTTAAACCTACCGTTCTGTCTATTTTTGCTCATGGGCCAGGGCATTAAGTCCAGTCATCATCTTGTGTCTTTTGCTACGTTCAGATTTGGGTCCAGAAACAGGTGCGTGCTACTGCTCAACCTGTAGCCTTAGCAAGGTCCTTGCTGGTGCATGGTTTCCCCCGTACGTGGGCAGGCCGGCAGGTAGGTGGTGTGTAGTCTGAAAGTTTCCTATGCATGGGTTTGCATGGTTGAAGTATCCCCAGTTTAATATTAACTTCAGTCTTACTCATTCTTGTTCAGAGGTGGTTCAGGTACCTCTGTGTTGGCCAAGCAAGGTCTGCACTTGCAGGAAGATGTTTGACAATTTTGATATTCATCCTGACTCCCTCCTGGGTCATCTCTAGTCATGACTGCCACATTTCTATTCATGTTTCTATCTGTTTTTCATCTAGGGGTTTTGTTAGAGCGAGGAAATTTTGCCATGAGTTTAGCCTGCTGGGAGCTGTAGTCGGTGCCTCCGGCTTCGATCTGCAGGTGCGCTCTGTTTTGCTTGCTGCTGCTCTCCTGATGTCTGGTGAAGCGATCCCAGCAAGTAGATGCATTCATCCCAGTGAAAGTTTTTTAGTTTTGGGAGTTAAACCTTTGGTCTGCTGACATTTCCACTCCTATACCCCCCTGCCCAGCGGTTTAATCTAGATATGGTGTTTTCCATTTGTTATCTGTCCTGAATCATTGGATTCACGTCCTGCTGCGTTTCTAAAATATGGTCCCTGCTTGCAGTATACACGTTGAGGGTCTCCCAGGTGACAAGTGATTGGCATGAGCTGTTATCTTTTAGACCAGTCTTGGAGTTCGCCTCAAGCATTTTGCTGTTAAGACCATCATTCGCTCCATACCTGGGCAGATTTTTTGGCATCATAACGCTATCACCCTAGCCCACGCTGTTGGGATTGGCCTAGCATTGTCCTCTTTGCTGTCTACCTCTTGTAATACCTGTAGACATCGGGCATGTTCTCCCCTGCAGCATGTTCTGTCCTCCTCATTAAACTGAGATGTGATGTACCAATGCACATCATTTCCAGAGTTGCATAAGGGTTTTTGAGTGCCCAGCCTTCATTCACAGGACTTGGAGATCCAAATCTGGGAGGTGGTTAACTCTGCCTTCATGATTTATATTGACCATTTGAAGCGATGACAGCAGCACAGATTGTAACTAGATTAACATATTAAGCAACGTGCTGTTGCTAAGTTTCCCACCATTTTAAAATGTGAGCGGCTATTTTATTTTGTAATTAAAAACGAAAAAAACCAAAACGCACCACCTTGAATATGAAATAGCAGGTTAAAAATAAGCCTCTGATATATCAGCATCTAGAGCTTGTTTCGCAATCAGTCTTTTCTAATTGATTGGCGCGTTCCCCATTTCCGCAGGCTGGGTAAATCCTTTGTGCGCTTTAATCTCTGGCCTGCAGGCACATAAAACACATTGCACAATTTCATCTTCACCTTTTAGCGATTTGGTTTATTTATTTATTCTTCAACTTGAAACATTTGCAGCGCCTCGGCCATGGGGATGCGAGACTCGGGAACGAGGCAATGGCATGGAGCGAAGGAGGAAGGGACCTGCCCTGTTCCTCTGTCTCCGCTGCCGGTCTCCCAGCTCTGACCGTCTTGCAGGTTGCAGTGAGCAAACTTTTGAAATGCAAATAATTCCTGCCCTATCAATAACTAATCCCTTTGCTGTCAAATCACCAGCCACCCGCCTGCAGATGTGACGGGCACTCCTGCGCTGGCAGGAGATGATGGCCAGCTTGTGTTTGTAACCTGTATGTACCTGTTGGGTTCTTGTTTGAACAGTTGGGACCAGGGACATGAGCCATGGCAGTGAAAGGCCTTTTCAAGAAAACAAGCACTTTAGGGTTTTTTGCTTTCCTTCTGCTGTAAGAAATTAATAGATGGATGTGGGAGGATGCCAATAATTCCTGTGGTTAGTGTGTGGTTAGTCTGAATGGGGGAGTTCCTTGCTTTAAATTCCCCAGAACATCATGAAGAGAATAGAGGCCTTCATAGCTGAGCTTGAGTCACCAATTTTCTTTATGCTTGGACTAAGGTAAATAAATAGCCTTTTTGTCACTTTTTGAAGCACGTCCCTTGGTCAAGTAGACTGGACAGCTGCCTTTGATGGATACAGCCTGGAGAGAGGCATAGATTGCAGCGTAGCCAGCCCTGTAAGAGCTTGCTTAATCCATTGTGATCGCGGGTGTGCACACAGGCATGGCTAAAGTCCCTTCGGCACTCTGCTCAATGGCGTTGGGTTCAAATTTGTGGCGAGACCTCTCTCGAGACGGTGGCCAGGTGGAAGGCAGGAGCACGGTGCGCTGTAGCGGTAACTCAAAGGAGCTGGGACGTGGTGGGCTGTGCACGTGGTTGCATCTGACCTCCATGGTGAGGAGTTGCTTTCTACTGACCTACACGCCCTTGAACTCTGTGCTGGGGTGTTAGTGCCATGCCATGCGTTTGGGCTGATCAGTTGGTCTCAAAAAAAAAAAAATCAGGCAGTAATGCTGTGCTTCAAAGTATAGCTAGTACTTTGGGATTCCTGGAGGAAGATTGTTGTAGAGGTACTTGAGAGTATGAAACTTGAAGGCCTCTGAGGTCTAATCTGTACCCACCACGTACAGGCCTAGGTCCAGCCCTCCTTTTAAGTGGCTTAAGTAAGCCCTCCTTTAAGTGGCCTAAGTAAGCTGTCTAAGTGATCTCCTCTTGGCTACCTGTGCTCCAAAGCAGTTGTTTTGTACCAGGAAATGTACATAGTGTCTGTGGAAGTCTTTGGGATGCTGGCCACAGAAAAATCAAGACTAGCAGGGAGGAGGAGGGAAGGGCACAACTACTGTTTAGCCTACTAGCCTAGTGGTGAGGGCACCTAGGCAGGGAGCAAGAGACCCAGCTCATGCTCAGCTCCAGCGAGGGCCTAGAATAGAAAATATCTTGCAGCAAAGACCACGTAGTACTGGACGATGGGTGGGTTGGAGCCATGAGCACCCTTCACTGTATACATGGCAGCTCTCTGGGCAGTCAACAGAGGAAGAGGAGTAGACCGCGAGGGCTCAAATGAGACGCAGAAGGGCGCATCCTTGTCTGGCTTCTGCCCCCAGTGACGTATTAGATTTATTAGTTCTTGGATCATATGGAAAGAAAGCTGTGGGACAGGGGCATGTGCCCTAAGCATAAGGCTGCAAGGTGACAGGCCCTTCCTGTCCCTTCCTGTCTTACCCAGGGCTACTTACCTTCCCAGGGCAGCTGGGTTAAAGGGACCTGAAATGCCACTTGGGCAACAACACCTAGCAATGCAAGCGCCATTTGCTCCTATACAGGTGGGATCAGATCTGGGCCATAATCCCTAATGGGTAGGTGCCCCAAACCCTCATGCAAGTTATGACCAGAACGTTTCATTCAGATGCTTGGCGATCTAAGGCCATTGGGGGCCATGTGTTCTTCTCAGCCTGTTAAAGCAGCAAGAAGTCGAAAGGATCCACCATCCACGTTGGTGGAAGGATTTAGTGACCTGATGTGGTTGGGGCACACCAGGTGCCTGTAGCCAGCAGCGCGCAAGGGATGGAGGTGGCTAATGTCAGTCTATAGCTGCTTGCTGAATATTGTAGGACTTCTGGCTGCAAGTTGGCCTGGAGTTCAGAGCTTGCCAATGCTCAGAGAGGCCCATCTTCAAAAGCAGCGCCCATCTTCGATATAAAATGGGTCCAAAGAGGCTCTGAGGGCAAGTTGGCCATGATCACAAGGTGCTTTTTGGCCACGGTCATATCCGCATGCCTCTTAGCCCCACCGCCGACCCCGCTGACCGCTCTGCTCTTCCCCTCCAGTATTCCACCGAGCTGAAGAAGCTGTACTGCCAGATCGCCAAGACGTGCCCCATTCAGATCAAGGTGATGACCCCGCCGCCCCAGGGCGCCGTCATCCGCGCCATGCCTGTCTACAAGAAAGCCGAGCACGTCACGGAAGTGGTCAAGCGTTGCCCCAACCACGAGCTGAGCCGGGAGTTCAATGAGGGTAAGGGGCCGTGGCGTGGGAGGGCTTTACTGGGTGACCTGCTTGTGGGCTTCACTCTTCCATGTCCACTTGGTTGGCATCGGACATCTCTGCGCTGCTTTAGCTTGTGGGCACACTGCAGGGCTGAAGCAGTGCCCTCCTGGCTTGGACGACCTCGTCCCTCCCCTCCGCAGACTCGCTTTCTCTGAGAAGCAGCTGTTCTTCTCAGGAATGATCTTCCGTGCTGCTAGGACAAGGATCTAGTGACAGGATGCAATATCACCCCGAGTCCTTAATCCCGGCTTTAAAGACAGGGGGAAGTTTGCCTCGAAGAGGGTAGTGTCAAGGGCTGGCTGCACACTGTAGCCGGTTCTACTTCCCGTTTAATATGAATATATTGATCTAATGTTAATCTGCAGTCTCACGCACTGATCTGTTACTGATCTCCGGTTACCCGTTTCAGATTTCGGGTGATCAGTTGTTCCAGGCATGGCCTGCGTTCTCATTTTTGCAAACACAAATTTTGTTTGTTTTACCCAAAAAGATGGCATTCATTTAGCTTTAGATACGGTTCATTTTCTATTCCACTTGTTTGACCTGGTGCACGTAGTAGCTGAAAATATATCAGGAAGCCTGGCTGCTGCCGTGAAGAGGCTTTGATCCGATCTCTTTTAATAGACAAATGCAATGATAACCAGACATTCAGATGGTTTGGGAAGCATGGCTGGGTGGGAAACATTCAGCGAAGCAGTCTTTGGTCAGAAAATGCCTTTTTTTTTTTTAAGAAACCGTATCAACGTTGATCAAATTTTGTTTTGGAAAAAGAACTTCTGCTGAGGAAGGTTTTGATTTGTTCAGAATAAAATGTTTTGTCTTTTTCTCTTATTATTTTAAAGCAACTTTTCTTGAAGAACATCCCTCCCTCCCCCCACCTTTTTTTAAAACATAAAAGAAAATGACAGCACTGGAGACGATTATTTTTACTGTTTTTGCAAACCTTGTAGAAACCGAGAAGAAAGGATCTGTGCGCTGCCTGCGAGAAGTGGTGGCTTTTGACAGGGGCCATTGAGTTGACTTGTATTTCTTTTCATTTGTGCCTCCTTTGGGCCCAGGAGTGGTAGGAAGAGCATGGAGCCTTGATTGGAAAGGAAGTCAAAGCTTTAGGGCTTCAAAGGAGTGGGGTTGTTTCGTACTCAGGCTTTTTAAGGTTTTCCCGTGGAGCTGGGCTAGTGTGCTACCATAGGACTCTCAAACCCATAGCCGGGTGAGGCATCCTCTCTAGGGGCGGGATGGTGCAGAGGTTAGGGATTAGCCTGCCCAGGTTTCATTTCCCACTCCACTATGGTGTTTTGTGCGACCCTAAGCAAGCCCTCCCCCTCTTCCCTGTCTCATGGCTGTGCTGTGAGAATAGGGCAGTGCATTAAAGGTGAGGTGCTCGAATGCTAGATAAAGAGGGGCAATGTGAAGGCATCTGTAGCAGCATGGGGCCTTTCTCCGGTAAAAGACCCTGCCAGTGAATGAGCTTCCTTCACCGAAACACTTCTCCCCTTCTCTTCCTTTCCATCTGCAGGGCAGATCGCTCCTCCCAGCCACTTGATCCGAGTGGAAGGAAACAGTCATGCACAGTACGTAGAAGACCCCATCACGGGCCGGCAGAGCGTCCTTGTTCCCTATGAACCACCCCAGGTAAATCAAGGGCGAAGGGCTCCTTTCTGCTCCCCCTTGAAGGCACCACATTGTGCTTCCACAGTTCTCCATCGCATGGTACCGCCGTCCTGGATGCCTATGGGCTGAGAGCTGAATTGCCCTCATCCCCACGGGATCTGGACTTTTCCAGACCCTGAGAGATCCAAGTATTCCAGTCTGGGCCCATCTTTGGGGAAAGCAGATTTCCTAGCGGGGCAGGGATGCACATCCTGCCGCCCGTTGACGTGGCTTCTCCCAACGCAGGTTGGCACCGAGTTCACAACGGTCTTGTACAACTTCATGTGCAACAGCAGCTGCGTCGGAGGCATGAACCGCCGGCCCATCCTCATCATTGTGACACTGGAAACCAGAGAGTGAGTAGTGCTGGGAAGTCGACGGCAGAGTTTTGCCCTGTTTTTGGCAGGCAGTGCTGCTCCCTGGCCCCATCCTGACCAGGATGGCTTGTTGAATTCCTTAATATGCAAGAGCTGGAGGTTATTGCAGCCTCTCAAGCCAGGGTTGGGCAGCTAATGGGGATGCTGGCGGTCTGGTCCCACCTCCACATGACTTGCTGTGTGGCTTTTGGAGACACCTGTAGCCTGTGTGTTGGCTTCCCCATTTGCTACGTGCAGACAGTTTTGCTTTAGGGATGAAACCCCTTGCATATAAAGGGCTGAAGAGGCAGCCATTTCCACATCTCTTTTTCCAACTTTACTGAGCATTGAGTTTCCTGCTGGATATTTTGCCAAACAATAAACTCTCCTGCCATGCAATTGTATCTCAGGTGTTAAAAGTGCAGACCGAGATACAGCGATTGGTAGGGTGCTAGGTGCTCAGATTTGCACACCCGAAGTGAGTGGGTCAGGAGGCTGGTAGGTGTCTTTGGCTTGGAGATGGGCTTCTGTGCAAACACACGCTTGTGAGCTGGGGCAGGGATGGGAATGGACACAGGTTGATATGCCGATCCTCTGCGTGTATGGTACCTGACGCTGGGAGTTTTAAGCCTGCTTGTGAGAGGTGTGACGCCTTCGGGGCTTTGGTTGATTGCTCCCTCTCTTCCTCCTTGCCTTAGCGGACAAGTCCTGGGCCGCAGGTGTTTTGAAGCCCGTATCTGCGCCTGCCCGGGCCGGGATCGCAAGGCGGATGAAGACAGCATCCGAAAGCAGCAAGTTTCCGACAGCACAAAGAACGGCGATGGTACGAAGCGCCGTAAGTAGCTGGCAGAGCGGTGCCGAGGGCAGGCCAAGCTTTCGGTGCGTGGGAAGTTTTCCAGCTTCTGTCCCCGGGGAATGAAGACTGGCCGGAGACAGGAGGGCATTAGGGGGATCCGAAAGGCAGGAAACTGCCATGATCCTTTAAGAAAAGGATCTGTGGGGATTTCTGTTCCAGCTGTGGATTAAAACCTCTGCCTACCAATGCATGGGTGTTGACCCAGTTGGCTCCATCAAGCAGTCATGGTCCAGCTGTCCCCAGTGCAGCATGGACCAGCGGTGACTTGTCCCAAGTGCTGCTTTTGGATGGCGATGGTGTTGTCCAATCCATCCAGCCAGGGTACAGTGACCTGCTGTGGGCCTGTGTGCGCACTGGAGCCGTGCTCCCATATTTCTCTGCAACGCTTCATCTTCCAAGATGTTTCGTGGCTGCAGCTGCCCCTGCCACGGGGGACGGCACTCGGCTCCATTTCAACCCTGCGGTGCTGGAGCTGTTTTGAGTGCTCTGCTTGGGGAGCATGTCCATGGCTGTTGATAATACCCAGCTCCAAGGTGGGGTTTCCTGCATGCCCAGTGATGGCACGAAGCCATTTAGCTGGGTGCCGGGCTGTAGCTGGAGGATTTGCCTCATTGACGGATTCGACCTTCCTGCCCTCTGCTCTGCTCCCTTAAAGAGCTGAGCAATTTGGGGAGGGTATTCTCATAACTGGGCGGCCTGGTGATGCCAGTGCTTTTGTCCGTTGTACTTGCTGTCAGCATCCATCTCGTGGCCCCAGTTTGGTTAGCCGTGGCTCTGCTTGTTGCCCAGAGCACCCTGACTACAAGCACCTACAATTATTGATGTTAAGGGCTTTTTAGTGCTGTACTTAAGTTGTGCCCTATACTGTATCACAATGCTTTTGCTTTAGTGGTGAAATGCAGGCTTACTATACTATAGTAAGTTTGGTTTGTGTGTTTTTTGACTTCCCACTCTTTATGGCCACATACACACCATCAAATGTATGGTTTTCAGTGCCTCTCTTTAGCTCATGGTCACAAAAATACATCCTCACATCTCCTCCAACCTGTTGTATACATGGGTGCGCTCCTCTGAATTTTCCTTGGAAGCACAGCGAGAGAGAAAATCATAGAAAATGAGGATTGAAAGGGATGTCAGGAGGTTGCATCTAGTCCAGCCCCCTGGTCAAAGCTGGACCAGCCCCAACTACATCATCCCAGGCAAAGTTTGTCTAGCCGAGTCTTAAAAATCACCAAGGACGGAGACTCCACCACCTCTCTGGGTAACCTGGTCCAGTGCTTCACCACCCTCCTCGTGAAAGATTTTTTTTTTTTCCTAATATCCAACCTCAACTTCCCTTGCTGCAGCTTGAGCCCATTGCTCCTTGTCCTGTCATCTGCCCCCACTGAAAACAGCCCGGCTCCATCGTCTTTGCAACCACTTCATGCATTGGGTGTCTCTTAATGGGGCACTTTGGGGATCTCTTTGCAGCTTTCCGGCAGGGCACCCACGGCATCCAGATGACGTCAATCAAAAAGCGGCGCTCTCCTGACGATGAGCTCTTGTACTTGCCGGTAAGCCATTTGCCTCTTCGTCTTTTCCCTTCATAGCTTATTGGTTATTTTGGCATCATTATAAGTAGATTGAGGCTAAACAGCTGCTTTTTTGGTGCTTAGTTTAAAAAAAAAGGGGGTGGGTGGGGAATCCTTCATCTCAGATGGGATTATCCACAGACTAGGTACAGGAGTGAAAGAAATGGCTTTTGCAAATCAAGTATCTTAAGTTCATCCTCCAGATTTATACCATGCAGGACCCACTTGAGCAAATCTTTTCAAAACAGCCTGGGCAAATTGCTCCAGAGCATCCAGGAGGGAACAGCCTGTCCTAGCAGGTGGCTGGACTTACTGCCTAATGCAGCTTTCTCCCGTCACGCCTGCCGCTCTAGGATCCAAGCTTCCTCCAGTGATAATGGACCCAGATCCTTTTTTCCTCCGTGCTCTGGCAGATACTTCTTTGGCTTTTTAGGAGCATTATCTGTCACAGAGAGGAAGTGATTGATAGAGATGCAATGTGCTGTAAATAGCACAGGACACAGCTGGGAGTGGAGGAGCAAAGTGGGTCTGTGATTGTCCATTTACCGGTTTCCTAGTGCATGGTGCTTGGCCCTAAGACTTGTAGCACAGAGAACACTTTAAGAGCCCAGACCAATGGTGCCTTCCTGCAGATGTTTGGGGCCTATGAAGCTTGAATCCAGATGCATGTAAACCTCATGCACCTAAGGGTTTCCGTGGCTCCTGCCCCTGTGTCACCCAAGTGCTGTGCAGCTGGATCTTGCTAATACCCAGGGCATTTACCCAGTAAAGTTGCATTGAGCTCATTGAAAACTTCAGTGTCGAACAACCCCAAAATGTTAAGCATTCATCACCCATATCTGACCTGTGACCTCTTCCCTTAAAGGTGCAGCAGTTAGACGCTAGTTTTAGGGCAAGTCAGAAAGAGCATGGATGATGCATGTACGTGCAGCTCTACCCTTGCTTGGCTTTGAGGAGATCATGTGGGGGCTGTAGCTCTTGCCTTTGTAATATTCGGTCTCTAAGGGTTGTGTTGTCTTCCCTCTCATCTCCTTTGCCCAGGTCCGGGGCCGGGAGACATACGAAATGTTACTGAAGATCAAGGAGTCCCTGGAGCTCATGCAGTACCTCCCGCAGCACACAATCGAGACCTACCGGCAGCAGCAGCAGCAGCAGCACCAGCACTTGCTCCAAAAGCAGTGAGTATTTAGCAAGCGAGCAAGGACTGTGGGGCTGGGGAGGTGGAAAAGAGAGAGAAAGAGAGACAGGAGGTCCACACGGCTCATGCCTGGGTGGTTAAGAAGGGTGTCCTCAGTTCATCCCATCTGCAAAACCCTGGCTTGGTAGCCAGGCAAGGAGCAGCGAGCTCTTACCTGCTATGGCAAGAGCAAGTGGCCTTCTTGAAGGCTCTGAGATCTAACCTTGACTTGTTTCTGCAATGGAGCAAACCCATCTAGACTCCCCCTCCCCTCCAAACTATGCTTGGGTGCTGAATTGTGCCAGCCTCCTCTTAGTGCAAACTGTGTGCCCTTGACCTTAGCATGCACAGGGATGGGCTGCTGAGCAGAGAGGGCTTTGGATCGGTGATCTGAGGCCGTCTTCACTTTCATCGAGTCAACAGCCTTTCCCTCCAACTGCCTGCAGACAAGAACTGATGAGCATTTTGGATGGAAGTGCAGAGTGGGGGGCTGCCTTGCCACACGCTTTTTGTGGCAAAGGAGCAACCTGTTGAACAGCCCCAGCTCATCCACCCCCGGACTCTTGCCCGGTGACCTCTTCCAAGAGAGCCCGGCTTGCAAGCCCCATTGCGCCTTCAGGGAATTACTCCTTTGATGTCACCGGTGGGCAGGTTCAGGGTTGGAGTGGCAAATCAAATTGTAGGTTCAAAAAAACTGCGGGACTTTTAAAAGCCTGAAGCTCATAATAGCGGAGAGGCAAGAATATCTGCCTGGCCCTCGGGGAGTTGTAAAGCAGTATCTTTTATACATGCCTAAAGCCACATCAGTGCAGGGTCTCAAAGCAGTTGCAAAGGCTAATTTTGGTGTGCGGGTGAGAGGAACTACTGTTGTCCCCATTTTTGGAAAGGGCGAAGGATCTGAAAATGTAGGTAAGCATCTAAACTCGCAGGGAAATGGAAATGGCCGTAAGATGTCAGTGACGGAGTTGAAAGTAGCCCCCAGATCCTCCAACTTGCTTTAATTGCTCTCCTGAGCATCAGCAATTGGCAGTGTCTGTTGCAGGTAGCGGCATTTGGTGAGACTTTTTTCCTTTTTGCTCATGCGCCAGATGTGTAACTCATGGCATGGCAGAGCCTTGATGAGGCCAATGAACCATCCAAGCCCCCAAGGGCTCCCGAGGTGTGGTGCCCCCAGACCTGTGCCAGCCCTCTGCGCCAGGTGACTTCCACCCATTGGCATTTAGGATGCTGTCTTGGTGCCAGCTGGGTCCTTTTTGGGGCTATTAACAAAGCCCTATGTTGAAATGGAGCAGCCAGGAGCTTTAGGATCTCACCCACCCACTTGGTGCAATCCCCATTGTTTTTTAGATGCATGCCCTGCGATTGCACCAGATTTATGTGCTACCTGCCAGCAGTGAGAGAAACCTTCCTGCTTTGAGAGAGACCCCTCAAGTAGAGTCGTCCTTGCTGTAAAAAAAATAAAAATAAAAAAAAAGGGGGGGGTTTGTAAGCAGAAGTGGGTTGAAATAAATGACAGCCTGCCTCTGGGTGCTGACAGAGTTGCTTTGCTGTAATTACTGTTTTCACTCTTCCCGTATCCATGGGACGGGTTTTTGGCAGCAGAAGTCGGTATTTTTGTTGCCTTGCAGACCTGTGTGCGTATGAGTCCGTCCATTTTAGTTTAATGAAACTTTTCAGCCTGTCTCGTGGCGCTGTGCCAGTTCCCGGGCTGTTTCTCAGCTGCTGAGTGTGCGCTGATACAGGCAGGGGGGCAGGCGATTAGATGCTTTGAACAATGCCAGGAGGAAAAGTTACTTTTCAGCGGTTGTCTGGTCCTCGCTCCGTCTTGAGCAGGGAGAGGGCTCCAGTCATCCGCTGAAACATGTGCCAAGTTGGCTTTCCGGTGGGTTTACCCGAGTCGGAGGCTTTGCTCCATGACGAACGAACCAAGAAAAGCGCCTTTTGTGTTAAAACAATAGGTTTTGGTGGTAGTTACCTTTCTTTTGGGAGGAGTTTGCAGCATCTCAGTGCAAGGGGAGGCAATTCTGGAGTCGCTGACTTTGAGAAGAAGCTTCCATGCAGGAAGGCGAGGGTTAGTGGGCACTTGCTTAGGGAGGGATTCAGGCCCTGTTTGCATCCAAAATCAGATAAAATGCGACTTGTCTACCAGGCTGCTTTTTTGTCAGGAGGGGAAGTGTATTTTTTGTAGCTATGAATAGGGCTTCCAGAAGCACGCACCAGCGTCTTGCCTGTGAGCTGTGTATGCCGTGATTTGAAGCTACACGTCACACCGTGCAATTCGGTGCGTGCGACTGAGAGCATGGGCCAGACGGGGGGGCTCTGGGTATCCTCCAGGGGTCTGCCCACATGGCTCTGATTGCTGCACTTAGGAGCCTTGGCTTTTTCTCTATGGTTTCTGACTCTCGAAACATAACCGCGCTTGTGCATGTTATATACCAGGCAGAGAACCTCCCATGCTATTGCAAATGTTTTCCAACATGGAAAAGCCAGGCTGAGTATTCCCCATTTAAGGTCAGAGCAGAGGATTCATCCTGAATTTCGAAAGGGGTGCGGTTGACGGTTGAAAGAAGCAAAGGGGAATTTACCGGGGGCAATATGGTCATTGCTTCAAAAAAAAAAAAAAAAAGCAGTAAACTAGATCTTATTTTGGAAAATGATGATAACAACCGTCAATTTACAAGAAGGGAAAAAAATAACCTAATTGCATTTGGCAGGGCAGGAAACATAATTGTCTTAATGATTAAGGATGAGAAAGAAAAGAAGTCTGTATGGTGATCAAAAAAAAAATTGGATTCTGCAAGGTAATCAGAAAATCCCTCAGTAATTACAATTACTCAGAGCCTGTCTCTCTCTCTCTGTCTCTGTGTGTCTCATTTTCTTTCTATCTGCTCATGTTTTCCTGCATGGTTTTCTCGTATTTATTGTTATGCCAAATACCTTCATGATCACAGCTGGGTTTGGAGCATCCATCTTCATCCTGCCTCTACCACAGCCAAATTTTGGGGCCGTTTTTATCGTACATTAAGCTGGAAAACCTTTTGCATTCAGTTTGGCAACCGTGCTGGTTTAAAGCATGGCTCTCCACTACTAACAAGGAATCCTGGAAGCTGGTGATGGGGAAAAAGCCCTTTCCTCTCGAGGCAGCTCCTCAATGTAAATGAAAAGAGCTTTTCATTCTTTCCCGTTGGCAGTAGATCTCCCCTGGAAAGCACCTTCTCAGATTCGGGCACATCTCCTTTCCTCCCTTGTATTGCACACAGCAGCCGGTTGCCCCAGCTGTTTGCAGAGCCCGCAGACTGGTTGAAGTGTTTCCGAGATGAAGGAATCCTCTTCTTGCTGTTTGCCAGCAAAATATGTCCCATAGCACCTGGCAGCGAGTAGTTCACAAGCCCGTCACCTGCCCCTTTTCAAGCGAGATGCCCGTGGCATGAATTTGCACAGCCTGCAGTGGGAGAGCAACACATTGGCAGTGGTTTCATAGGCATTAGGGCTGGAAGGGACCTCGCAAAACCATTGTGGCACCTTGGGTACTTTGGTCAGGTCACCAGGATTGACCGTGCCGGCCTTACGCCTCCGTGCTTCACCAGCATGCATCCTCCACCCCAGGCAGAGAGAAAGGGAGCAAAAAATGCTGGTGTTAGAAGTAGCAATACTTCTCTGGGAGTAGGAGTGCTTGTCCTAGTACTTCTCTAGGAGTAGGAGTACTTCCTTCATACTTTCTAGGAGTATTGCTCAGGAAGGTAGCAATATGTTTCGCTGCGTAGTAGCTGCGGCGGGAGCTCCTGTTTGTTGTGAGTACGGTGGATCTCAGTAATAGCCCAGGCCTCCAAAGTCGTACAGCTGGCTACTGAAGTGTTGTGGGTATAGTTGGCAGACCAGGTTGTTTGAGGTAAATGCAACTAAAATAGTTGGAAAAATTCTTCCTTGCATGCTTTCGGGTAGAAATACCCTCCATCAGGCTGAGGATATAGTTGCTAGACTTCAAGAGTTGAACTGTCTAACAATAACCTCCTCCCTCCCGCTGCGTGGGGTGCCGCTTCTGTAGTTAAGCAGACAAACCTTGGCGTAGGCTGCGATGGAAACCCATTGCTTCTCCAGTTGAGTTTGCAACCGTTCATCTCGGCTTTTAGCTGGGGTGCTCTTCTTCCACCATTTTTCTTCATTGGGTGCTTTTAGCCGGGGCTGTACAACATGCTAAAAAAACCCCATAGAGGTCCCAGTGACCAGAGGGGTTTTTTTTCTTTGCCAGTCCATACTGTGATCATGAAGGTCAAAAGTGGTTGTTTTCTCTCCCTGGTTGTTTATAAAGGTTTCAAGGCTTGATCTTTTCTCCTCTTTTCTCTGGTTCCTTCTCTACAGTCTCCTTTCGGCCTGCTTCAGGACTGAACTCACAGACTCGCGGAGAGAGCCTCCCAAACAGACCGATGCCTTCTTAAAACATTCCAGCCCCCCAAACCCATCCGTCTACCCCTAAATCCAGCAGGCTTGGGGGGGGTTGTCCAGCTCCGGGACTAGAAACTCTGTGGCAAACAAACGCCTTGCTAGAAACAGAGCAAATAGCACGAACGAGGGACTCAAACTTTGCAAGGACGGATGATTCATCTCGTAGCTGTAGCGTTAGCGTTGGGAGGTCTGGACCCACACTGTCTTCCTTGGTGTGTCTTTTTTTTGTAATGTGTTTGTAAAAAAAAATCTGCTGTACTTTTTGCTGGATTCGTGAAACTCGCAGGAGTTTCTCTGAGCAGGTCTCAGTCTTTAAAATGCCTCTTGTCCTGTTAAATTAAAGACGTTTTCACGGGGCTTTTGGGGGGTTGTGTTTCAGCAGCCCGTGATGGTCAGTTAGTTGGGCCTGGCTGAATGCTGGACATGCAGTAGTAATGCAAGGGGTCGAAATGGTCCCTCCTGCTGGACAGATGGAGGTGACGAGCACCATAACTAGCATCAGTCGGTCTTTTTCTCTGTAGCAATACGCCCTCCAACCTCTCTCCCCTTAATCACAAC